TATTGATAGAAGAAACCAGAGAAGTAGTGAGTAGATCTTTATTTCGATCTTCGCGCAGTCACAGTGAAGCGTGAGATTATCTGTTCAGACAAACAAAAGCTCTCAACATTCAATATAAGATAATAAGGAATATAACGCTTATACAAAATAAGGAAGTGAATGAATACTTGAACAATACTGTTTTGGCATATGCTTGGTTATTTGGGTTCAACTCTTAACCAACCAACCTATGCTGTTACATTAGCTTCCCCCTAGAATCGACTTCCGCAGGAACGTCAGTTCGATTAACCTATCTATCAAAAACACTTTAGTTCTATTTCTCATCCCAAGGGATAATTATCAACTCGCTCAATGTTTGACTTACAATCAGTGGCAACTAACGCTGTCAGTTGTCAACGGTAGTCCATGGATGTCTCTTCATTTACTAGCTTGTCATCTTATTTTGTAGCATGTGATTTCTTCTACAACTATCGCTGACGGTTCGCTGCGTGCTTTCATGAGAAAGAGTGTGAGACTGTGGAATAAGAATATCTGAGGAAGTGCCGCGTTTCTCAGGCCGAATGGCATGCGTACAAACTCGAATAAGCCAAAGGGTGTTGTAATAGCTGTCTTGGGGATATCTTCATCAGCCACCGGGATATTGTGTTATGCCCTGACTAAGTCAATTTTAGTGAATATGTTCATACCCTGTAAACCGTTTGTGAAATCTTGGATATGCGGTATTGGGTACCTATCTGGTACGGTTTGGCGGTTGAGGGCTTTGTAATCCCCGCACGGTCGCCAGTCACCTTCATTCTTCTTTGGGACCATATGCAAAGAGGATGCCCATTGACTATCAGAGGGACGGATAATACCCAGTTGTAGCATATAATCAAACTCGGCCCTAGCGATTTTGAGCTTATCTGGTGCTAGTCTCCTGGGTTTTGCAAACACCGGTGCACCTTCGGTTTTGATAGTGTGACTTACTTTTAGTCTGTCTTTGGAAGGCTGTGGGTTTGGTTTAGTTAAGTTTGGAAATTCCGCGAGTATATCTTGAAATTTTGCTGTTGTTACTGGAGGGGTTTGAATCAAGTTAAGAGAGCTGATGTGACTTTCTTTGCTTTTTGTGTAAAACGAAGTTTCTTTTAGTGTTAATCGCCGTTTCTTGGTGTCAACTAGAAATTCGTATCTCTCTAGAAAGTCCATCCCCAGTATTGCCAGATCTAAGTCGGCTACCGTGAAGACCCAAGGGAATTGCCTTCTGAACCCCAAATCTACGGTTAACGTTTTCTGCCCAAATGTCGCGATTGTAGTTTTATTTGCAGCTTGAAGTGTAATCGGGGATGTTTCTCGACTAATCTCAGTTTTATTTCCAGGGATGATGCTAAGAGCAGCGCCAGTATCCACCAAGAAATTCAAGCCAGAGTTTCTGTCTCTGACATAAAACAAGCGACTGTTTAGGCGCCCCTCCTCAGTTGTCGCGACCTGGGGAGGGGTTACTCGTTTCCCGCTGTCTTGGAATTATGCTTAGGCCAGGCGCATGGTTGCCTGCACTTGGTTGAGTTGACACCAAATTTCCAGTGGTACCAACAAAACTGCCCAGATTGTCTGGACATTTGTGACCTATTTTGTGACTTGGATCGTGATCGTTGTGGTGACCTGCTCCTGTTTGTATGACCCATTTGCATTTTGGTGACAGCCTCAGTGAGACTCTTAACACTCGCAACGAGTCCTTCTATGACGGGGTCTTTTGCTGATTCTACTTTCTGTGTGTGATTTATTGTGCCTGATCCAGTTGGAGGACCTCTTTCCATTATTCTATCAGCTATACGCGCTAAATGAGATAATGAGGTTTCAGGATCTTGTGCATCCAAACAGTGTTGGACGTAGCATGGGAGAGCTTGTATCCATCCTTGTTTTAGGACTGCTTCACCCACTGTGTTATCACCCACTAAGACCTGGAGGTGACGTAGAAACTGTGACGGCGACCGATCACCTAGTGTTTCACCTTGAAAAAATCTTTGGATTCTTTGACTATCTGATAATGATAAACGGTTCATTATCTCTCGTCTTAAGATGGTGTACGGTTGTGGTGATGGTGGATCTAAAATCAAGTCACGGACTTCTTTGGCGACTGAAGGAGGAAGGATAGAACACAAATCTCTATAGCGAATCCCTTCAGATTTGATATTGTGTCTCGTGAAATAATGCTCGAGTTGAGCAAACCACAACTCAGGATCACTACGATCAAATTCTGGAAGTCGAGATTTCGTAGTCATAACAGTGTCTATCTCCACTGGTGACAAATCCTCCAGATTATGGGTTTCTTTTAAGTCTGACATGAGGTATGTGACAAATATAGCAATAAAATTAGCACGAAAAAAAAGGTTTCTATGACACGAATAACTTAAGATAATAAAAAAATAAACTATTTATATACCCAACTTAGTTTACGGATTATCAGGTCTACTTTTACGATTGAGTAAAAAAAATAATATTAATAACAAAAATGAGGTTAATTTGTGTTCAAAAAGGGCTCACCAGTTTCGTGCCTATAGGTAACCCTCGTACTATTGATAGAAGAAACCAGAGTAGTGAGTAGGTCTTTATTTCGATCTTCGCGCAGTCACAGTGGAGCGTGGGATTATCTGTTCAGACAAACAAACGCTTTCAACATTCAATATAAGATAATAAGGAATATAACGCTTATACAAAATAAGGAAGTGAATGAATACTTGAACAATACTGTTTTGGCATATGCTTGGTTATTTGGGGTCAACTCTTAACCAACCAACCTATGCTGTTACACATGCACTAGTACAGCATATTTCCAAAATCACACATTTCGGTGCAAACTAAGGTTCGTCTTTGTTGGATTTATTAATCACTCTTGCATCTGAGGATATTGCCAGCCTAAATGTTCTTCCACCGTTAGTGATTAGCGATCACGTAATTTTGTCACTCACGTTTAGAGCTAGTGATATGATATATAATCAGGTGTGGAGAGCTAAAATATCATACATTTAGGAGTGTGCTGCTAAAACAGACTGGTCAGTAGATACTGGCTCATCAGTTGAATAACCATGGTCTGTATTTAAGGGCAAGTTTAGTTCAGTTGCGCCCTCGTTTTTACCTTGCTTGGTATCACATAGACCAAATAACTGTCCACCATGGGTAACTAAACGTGTCAAGAAAATTCTAAGGTGTAGGAAAACTCATTGGAATATTTTCATCTCTACTGGCCTAAAACAGTGTGGACTTCAACTTATTTCCCTTATTTTATCGCATAATACGGAATTCTAACATCGGTAATAATATGTCTTATCTTTTCATACCTATCGTTGTGATTATGTGAATAGTCCTCAAGTCAGGCAAATTCCTTCCTTCATTTCGGCTGTCGAAGTTTGTTAAAATGAACGGTTGGCTAGGAAACTATGCAACAAATGAGAGAGGTTGGAATAACATATGATCCATCTAAGTGTCTTTTAGATCAACTTTGCCTGATAATTCGGCTGTTCAGACCGTTCATCACGACTAGTATTTAGTTCCCAGGAGGAGGTCGTACATATCTCGACAAACTCCATCTTCATTTTTTTTGTGCTGAATCGATTATGGGCGTTGGCAGGAGCAAAAGAAAGAAAGACAAGATCACATCCCCTTGCACCTGAGCATATAGTCAAGTATCTATCAGAAAACTGTCAAAGATCTACCGTTTCGCTTTTATACTTAGTGGATTACATACTCTGGCAATACTATGGTAATTCGTTGTCGTATTTCCACGTTCACAAAAGTTGTGTTGTAGGTTATTTTACAATTCAAGAGACATCTGTTTGAGTTAAATTACACGCAGCTCTTTATTGAGTAGTTCCTAGTGCGTTAGGTCCTCAATTTTAAGGCATTCCTGTCGGTATCGAAAACCTTTAATATAAAGTAAGATGTAGTAGTTTTATGGTCGATTTGTTCTGACCTCATCTTTTTATAGCAAGAGGGCGAGATTGCTGTTATTACTATTTGTTTGACGGAAACACATAAATTCCATCATACCACAGCGCAGTTAACAGTACAACTTCTCCACTAACTTTCAGTTTACTGTCATTATTCTAACTTCCTGAAATAAAAGGGCCCGAGGGAATGAGTAGTTTAGTCGCCTAAGCTTTATTGGCTAGTCTCTACAAAAAAGCTTAGTCACCACGATAAGGTGTCAGTTTCCATATGACTACCAGAAAAAAAGCCAACTCTGTGAAGCCCATTAACCGAAACATTCCGGCTTCAGTGAATAATTGTCTGTACGCAGGTATTTAAAAACCTGAACAGGACGAAATGGTCGTTCAACGATTCAGATGACAGTTAACATATGGCTCTTAGGATACGGTACTACACGTTAAAGAGTGTAAGAGGTCCATGAAGAAGTTCAAGTGCCCCCTTGTGCAGCCCTACTGGTTCATGTGAAGACCGATACTTCTTGTGAAGTTTAAGATAGCTCAAAGTGAGCAGGTAGTATGTTTTGGACAATACACCAGCATATGATAAATGAACAGATTTGCTTGATTAGGACCGCTTTGTCTAGCCTGAGTAACCAATATTGTAAATTTCTAAAAACTCCCTGATTGGAGGCCTGCGTACTATATATGAGCATAGAATCACTGGAATCAGGAAGCAATTTATTTTTGTGTATGTTCAAATTCCCAGTTAGATGTAAAGAAAATATGAGGTCACTCCATTCTGTCTACGTAAAGATAGTGCTCAGATGAACTTCACAGGAAACTTTCGTGTAAGAATTATTGTTTACATTATACATCAGTAACTTTCTGAGTATTTTATTAGTACTGATCTTGTTGGAGGACATATAACAAAGGACAATGGATTAACTTTGTCAATACTTATTCACTAAGTTAATTCAATAAAAAGAATACCAAATGTGATTATTCCATCAGATGTAACATAAATCCCTTAGCCATCTTTCATTCTAAAGGTAAAGGTAAAAATTTTCATCTTTGATGTTATTTTGATAAATGGCCTTCAAACCAATTTACCTCCAACGAAAGTATAGGCGCGCCTTATGTCCCAAAAAACGTGATGGATTGTATAACTTGTCATCGCATTAATTTTTATGAATACCAACCGTCACCGTTTCTATGTTTAGCTCGCAGTAAATGTGGTTTAATTGCTGCTGGCAGGTCAAATGGTTCGGTGGATGTGTATGATGAAAACCGAGACTTTTTCATTGTTGCACATTTTCCACGCCGATTGTGTTGCTCAGTTGAGTCTGTAGTTTGGATGCAATCAAGATTATTTTGCACAGGTGCACTGGGCCGTCTTATAGAGCTTGATTTACAGGCTTCCAGCATCAAGGGGTCTTGTTTGTTAGTAGGAAGTCCAGTCGCTCGATGTATGACAGTCTTCGAGGATAACATAGTTGTAGGTTTCGCAAGAGCGTTCTGATTTTTATTTTCTTCCAGGTGGGCAATGATGAAGGGTTTATTACGTTTTTTTCAACCGACAAAACAGATCCAGCTCCTAAACATACGATTCCCAAGCTCTCTGGTACATACATTATACTAAATTATTGGTTAAGGAAAAATCTTATCTGTAGCTTGTACTCATCAAGACAAAGGCGTTTTGGCAACCGGCACTAGCACCGGCTCTCTTCTTCTGATATCTATTCATGATGGTGTTTCCAAAGTAATGTTTACGCTAACAGAATCGAACAAATCCTGTCTTATCTGGGCTCTATTATTCGCTGGGTAAGACATGAGCTATTGCTACCTATTACCAAATGTTTCCATAAAACAGAGCTTCATAAATAGTCACCTAGTCTGCAATCTTGTAATTTTATGATAATCATGACCTATCTTTGATAAAACTTATAGAGGTTTAAATTCATATATGAACAAAAATTGAGATTCTGTTACAATAACCTACTCCACAAACAAACATCTTTCAGGTCCAAGCCAATCAGTGCTCGTTAAATGTTTACATTCACGGTTGTCATATTTTTGAGCAAGCCGTCGTTTGCATTTACCATACAAGTAAATGGTTTTTACAAATTAGTCTAATAGATGTCAGTGAATACCAAAAATTCTAGAAATTTTATTAAAACGATTGAGTTGTATCAGAGAAGAACTTCATTTTGTTTGGTATGCGTATGACTATTAGCATCGCTTATGGATACTGTATCATGAAATGTCAGCTTTGGATAGATTGTATACCTGTGCTCTTTATGTATAGTTATGTATACCTATATCTTCTAAGTGCATTTGCGGCAATTAATTTTCAAAAAGCTAGGTGTTTCTGCTCGAGATTCGATCAAGTTGTGAACTTATGCTCTTGTGTTTTAAACGAATTCTCGGCATAAAGGTTTGTGATCGAAATTGTAAGATTAATGTTAATTCTTTGTACTTTAGAAACTCATATACTTTACAGGGACTGTTAAATTTTGCTTGTAATAGTAGTAATTTTGCCGTGTCCAGTGGTAAAACAGAAATCTATATATTTGTAAGTTCATTAAGTGGTTTGGAAAGTAGTACATTACGCTAATTTAGTAGACTTACTTAAACAAACATTCGAGGATTTCATTTAGTGTTTTGCGGGAATATAGATTGTGTCCATCGTAACTGGTGTATCTTTGGCAGTTTAAACAAACAGTTAGCATTACTTTTTGGAGTATCTATGTCCTGGTAGGTTATTTACTGGTGACTATTGATACGCTTAAGCTTAACAGCCAGGTCAATCGACTAGAGAATGAATGACCTACACGCCAATTTCTTCCAATCGTCTGCGAGTCAGTCAATAACAACTTAGAACTTCGTACGTACGTACATCAGTTCGAGGTGCCATACCACATTAGCACACAAATACAATTGTCGATTCAAATCACGTAGTGGTAAAAGTAGTAAGAGTATAAGCAGTAGTCGGAAACATTAGGGTTTGAAGATCAGTCAGTCAGTCAGTAACAACGTAGAACTTCGTACGTACGTACATCAGTTCGAGTTGCCACACCACCTTAACACAGAGATGCAGTTGCCAATTCAAATCCCGTAGTGGTAGAGGTAGCAAGAATGTAAGCAGTGATCGGGAAGATTAGGGTTTGGAGATGTTATTTAACGAGTATAATTCAGTGAAATAAATTTGGAAAGAGGAAAAAAGGGACATGGAGAATTCAGAAGATTAGAATTTGGGAGAACACAAAGAGTGGATGCACCTGCGCCATTGCAAACGATTTTGAGCCATGTCATTCAGGGTCTCTAACCATCGATTGCTATCATCTCGCGGTCCCCAACCAGGTAGTCTATACCTATCAACATGACTCAGACCACTTGTCAGTGACTCCATGGACTTGTGCCATGTTTTGGTCTGGCCACCCCTAGCTTTCTTCCAACCTACTCCTATACCACTGAACATCGCACGTCGAGGCAGTCGGTCGTTGGGCATACGTAACACGTGTCCCAGCCATCTCAACTGATGAAGTTTCACTACTTCATCAATTGATTTGCCATCCTTACCTAGTACCCGTTTCCTAACAACTGTGTTACTTACTCGATGGTCCCATGATATACGTTTGAAGATGCTATTCAAGGATTATAATCCAGTGAAATAAATTTGGAAAGAAAATAAAGAACATGGAGGATTCAGAAGATTAGAATTTGGAAGAACACATAGTAAATGCACCTGCGCCATTGCAAACGCTTTCGAGCCATGTCATTCAAGGTCTCTAACCATCGGTTGCTATCATCTCGTGGATTTAGAACAGGTAGTCTACACCAATCGTTTGTGACACTTTCCCGTGCTTATTTTGCGTTCATATTTTTCATATAGGCATGTTATTAAATGAAAGAATCATTCATTTGGCTTGTTTTCTTATCTTCCAATTATCATCATTCGGGGGCCAAAGTCAATTATATGATTTCATGATTGTCCATCGCTCGGTCACCTTATATTATTGCGTTTATCCACCTACTAGAGTTCTACTCATCAATTTTAAAAATCGAAATTTGGCCTTATGACACGCGAGAAATTTACTTCATAGCAGTCAGAAAGCATCTAAGCTGTCCGGATAAGTTCAGTAAGATTGTCTATTATATATTCGCTAGTTGTTTGAAGTGAATGATAGAAGTGAGTCGTGTTAAGTAGTTGGAGGGGATTGGCGGCAGTCCTTGAAACTGGGCTCTATTTCCCGCCGACACTCAGTTGGGCGTATTCTCACTCACATCACCAAGGTTCGCAATCAGAGATGTTACGGTCAACCCCCGGCTGAATAGTTGTGAGACCGATAAGTTCATGCATGTTTATCAGTGAGTTGTACCAGTGTCGTTTCTGTAGTCTTTAGTACTGATCTAATTCTTAGCATCAATAAATCTGTTCTCTTCCCAAAAGTTACTTCAAGGTTATATAATTCAGGTACGGAAAGCCCTAATTAACATGGTTCGAAATATCACAAACGCATCCATTTATCTTGTAATCGCTTAATCTTCTTCAACCCTTTTTTATTTAAACCAGTTGTTGTTGTTGTCCATTCTCTCTTTGCTGCTGTGAAATGTACTGAGCTTTGAGGAACATTGTATAAAGGCTATCGCCTAGCTAAATCGGAGTAAGGAAGGAATAAGTTTAACCTGCAAACTTTTAGTTGAAAATTGATTGCTTTAACCACAAGGTCACCTGAGGAAATCTACTACTTCTATCGTATGAGACTTAATTGTTCTACAGAATTTGTCTTATCCGTTCAGTACATCCAGATCAATTTAATAATGTCCACTTTTCAAAACATTTTGTATGAAATAAAATCTAACATATAAAGTTACTTGTAAAAGTAAGATTTTAGAGAAATCCCACATTAATAAAAATATTCAGCCACACCACCGTAACAATGCTTTCGACTAAACGTAATATTAGGTGCTTTATAAATATATTTGAGGCTCCAACTACCTGGATAATGGAGTCCTAACACACCCAAATTAGGGTTAATCTAAATCACGATAATTCTCACCTCATTATGTTCTGATGTGCTTGCAACTAATTGTTGTAAACGTTTGTTAAATTTAACAGATTTGTTATTGTCAAAGATATACCTAAGTCATCTTATTCTTTCGGTTTCCTTTTGCAGTGGGTTTTTATTTTCTGGAGATAGTAGAGGCGTGGTGTGTATTTGGGATACATCTGTCGGCGGCCAGTTATATAGTTTCTCTTGTCATCATGCTGATGTACTTGCTTTGGCTTCCAATCTCGATGGTTCCATTGTTTTTAGTGGTGGGGCAGATGCTATTGTACGGAGATTCGAATTCTCTTTATCTGAAACTGGAGATGGTATTTGTATTATTCAGTTTTTGATCTTATTTTATGTACTTGTTGTGTGTTTGTAGCACTTTATCATGCAGTACTACATAATTAAAGTTAAATTTATTGGTATCATCATTAATTTTCATAGATTTACTAATGTGTATTTGATTATTTATCCAAACATACTTGACAAGACATTAATAATATGTTAAGGCTGATGTCACTCGAATCGTATCTGCATCAGGTTATGTATTTCAAATGTAAAACGAATAATGAAACCCGTTTATATTTCAATCATTAGTAGGTCACTCGTAACATCGCAAAATTTTTAAGATTAGATACAGTGAAAAATGCTAACAAGTCAAATTTGTAGTGCTTTAAATTAAGTTGTTTTTAATCTGGGTTTTCAGTTAGAAAGTGTTTTACGTAGTGTTTTTTCTATATTTTCTTACTTATATCAGTCATTAAACCTGATTTATGTGTTGGGTTCGATCATCTGAATTGATTACGGTTTTACAGCCTGAAAATAGCTAAGAAGTACTTCCTGGTTTTATCATATCCATTTAACTGGTATGAAATTGATGCAGTATGTCTTATAAAAATCTACAGAGCTTAAAGGATCACTAATTACGAGAAATCTTCCAATCTTCTTCAAAACAACCGGCAGCATTTTCTGTATAACCAAAATATAGTTTTATCTAGTATCACTGTTATAATAATCTGTGACAGCAGGCTTATTGTTGTTGTCAGCAGGATATAACGGATAGTAAAGCCATGGTAGGTTTATTTTTTTGATGATATATCGGTAAATCTCTAGAAAGCTCGCTTTGCCTGTACCAACTTGCACCACAAGATCGTCTGTCTACTAAAAAGGAAGTAATCCACTCTGTGAAACATGGCTTATAAAAGTAAAAGGTGTGTAAACTGCCGGTTTTTTAACAGGAATATTTTTTTAACATTGCTCAGGTTTGATAAAGCAGTCGGATGTATAGTCCTAAGAATAGCGCACTAGACAAATATCCGGACTCAGTTGGTATGATTGTGTATTACATTCTTGCTTATCTGGCTTTCCATTGCCACAAGAGGGAAACAACATGTAATCTAAATAACCAGAACAACAAAACACAGTTGCAAAGACCCAGAGTTTATATAAAATTTACTGGACCAACTTTTAGTTTACACTTTAGCCATTCACTGAGACTGATTGGTTGAAAATAGACCAATCGTCTTATTACGACCTGATTTTAGACTGTACATGAAGTCAGGATTCTATCCAGCTACAAGTATATCTTCATCGACCTCGATGGTCGAAACACATGTTTGAGTATGTCTAACTACCTCCAACCTCGGCGTTTGATCTTATCTGTAGTAGAGACAATTTTAAGAGTCAAGACATGGTTTCTGTTCATGCGGTGATTAACTATTGCTATGAGGCGTGTTAGTGGATGCTGACTTCATGGTTTGGTTCCACGTAATAACCATATCCAGTGATTGCGGGTGTTAGATGACATAGTTCGGTCATAGTGGCCCAGGCATACTTACTCTTCAACCCGCTCCAACTTCTTGAACTTTATCATTATTTCTCACGTTTTATTCTTCAAATTCATTCTTCTCGAATCATGTTCTTCCCTTTCCCTTTATCATTGATAACACTATTTCCACGATTTTGCATCATTGCTAATTTCATTTTGCCTTAGTGATGTGATATGGCAACTTGAGTTAAGGGATGTTTGTGCCAGGCCTTGTGACTGATTAACTGGTTGTGATTTCGATGTACTTGAATCAAACAAATATGGGCATGTACATAAAGCTTATAAAATGATTATTTTTGTGAATTGTACACTGTTCTATGCAAGAATATCTTCATGATATAATATATATTATATATGGGTTATTCACACATTATTTTGATTATTCGTTTGGTCCGGTGTTAGCTGTAAATGTAATCACTGGTTAATAACAAACTATTTTAAGCTGAAATTCTTTTCGTTCTGGAGAGCAAATCTCGATCGTAGGGTCATTATATTTCGTATTTTTTTCGCTCACTATTTTAATTATTACCTACTTTTTCATGCTTCCCATTATCAGGTCAGTGGCAATGTAGTGGTATAATTAGGGGTTCTAGACGTGATATTCATGGGCTAGCCTTCATCCCAGGTCATCATCATGATCCTAGCGCAGAATCTTCCTTTTCAGATGTCCGTTTTGAACCTCATCGTCTTCTTGCTGTGGGACAAGATGCATGTCTACAAGTAATGCCATGTGAATCAATCGAAACGGGTGTTGGAGTCCTTGCTTTGGCTGAAAAGACTTTGGCTGTCAACGTTGGAAGACCTCAAGGTGAACAGAAAGCTGATAATGGATATGTCGCTGCTCTCCCATTTTGGCCTGCTTCTGTTGCTCCCTCGCGTCCATCACCAGGATGCTTTGTAACTTTGCCTATAGGATTAGTACATGGTACTTTTGGTGGTCAGGCTGGTGCATCTCGTCATTTATGTCTTCTGCACTACCCGGACAAACTTTGTTTAGTACGTCTTGGTCAACCACTCACATCTGGTCATAAGAAAGTTTTTGAAAAGTTTTATTCTATGAATCTTGGGCCACTTCAGGTAGTAGAAATTCATCCATCTAAGGGTATGGAATTTATTAAATCTAGTTTATCTCCTTGTGGATCTTTCATTGTCTACAGCGACTTCAAACGAACTCGACTGCTCAAATTAGATGTGGTAAGTCAGAAACTGTTACGTAACGTTCGGTTCATCATTCGTTGGAATGCTTTGTTTTATGTTGGATTCAAACTATAGGATATCTAATCCTGCTATGTACACTTTATTTACTTAATATACCCATGTCCAAGATGCCTGTTTATAAATAGATTTTTACAATGCATTAACATTAATTCTTTATATGATCAGCCAAATGGTGCAACTAACAGTTAGTGATAACTCTCATCAGGATGTTGATAAGCGGCATCTTCATTGCACAGGTTCGCCTGAAGATAAATTATAACTATTCAGCATGATACACTTTATCTTGATATTCACATATCATAACTTGTTCGGTTCGAGTTGATTATTGTTACCATTTATTGACAACTCATTTATTTACATAATCTTATTGTATAAGAGGTAAGTGACAGTATACTAATAACCTCAATAGTGAGGAACCTAAATGGAGCAATTAATGAAATTGATTCGAATAGTTCAATATGGTGTTATACAATTATTGTATCTACTCTTCAAATTGATGATAAAAAAATCTGTCCACTTATTGTTATTTTTCAACAATTATCTTGGTGCTAACAACTAAAATAACTAAATACACCTTGTTTTTGTCACCATTGCATTCGCTGATAGGCATTTAAGAATAAAGGAAGAAGTTTCTGTTTGTCAAAAGCAAAAGTGAAACCAGTTGAATGGGGTAGTAGTTCACATGATTCAATTTGTAGTTCTACAAAATCTCGTAACAAGCGAATACGTTTGGATAGTTGGAGCAGATCGTCTTCAAATACATCATCTTCAGAGACAGAAACAGACACAGAAGAAATTCTACAAGACTCGGATATCCTGCAATATTTCACCATGGATAAATCATTCCAGTCATCAGGTGGGCAGGGTCAACGTAGGTTGTCTACTGAGGATTTGTGTGATTTGCCTGGCTCAGAGCAGAAGAAATTAAATGCGACAACTATTCCACCTTCGTGTTTGATGGCTTTTACTCCCAAATCAGAGCACCTGTTATTGGTGACCCAAAAGCGTGGAAAATTTATTTGTATATCTGTAGAGAATGGCAGTATTTTGTGGGATCGTAACATCGGCGAAGGTATGTTCATTGACTTATTTTGATTGATAGCCTTTGTAGAACCATTATATCTTGTTAGTACTCGCATTTTTCATTTTGTAATGTACTAACCTTGCTCTACGGTAATCATGGTGATCGTCATTGTATTCACCATTATTTTGTATCTTGCTATTGGGGTTCATTATGGGCCTACGACGTTTACGGATCTAGGATCAAAAACAGTCTAGCTACTCTAATACGATCCGTTCTCTTTTCAGTTGGCGAGGGCCCTTTACACGCAATGCATCATAACCTCGACGGCTAACACAGAAGGAAGACATATTACTGGGAACTTGATTTTCTAGGTAGAACAAACAACACAAAACGAAGTGTACAACTATTATTTATGTAGTAGCGAAATATGACCTTCAAACACAAATTTAGTGAACTAAAAGCAGTGGCAACCAGTTAGAGGGCAAAGGTTATGGTGGAAGACGAAGTGGAAAAGAATGCGTGAGTGGTTATCGTCCCTAAAGAGATTTTAGCCATTCTAACAAAATCTGATTATTTTTGTGATCGCCTTAGCAGTTATACGAAGCGAAACCTTCAGTATAAACCGCTGCAATAACCTTCTTTTACAAAGCGTTTCCAGTTGAAAAGATTCTCAATCACTTCACGTGAAATGTATGTGTTACGTATCTAATAAGATTGAACTGGCTAGTTTCTCTCAAAATGCGAATTTTTATCTGTAAGTTTACTGATAATCCAATTAACAGGTATCCCTCTTATCCTGTTCACCGTTTTCAAAAGTCTACATAGCTCAGTACAGTCTCATTTGAACTTCAAGTGTTGTGTGAGTGGTAACAATAATGATTGGTACACAGCAATTGAAAGTCTGTGAATTATATATTGGACACTGCTCAAAAAGTCGTAACCTATCTGCAAAAAGCTGACATTTGTATTCGATATTAGCACAAGACCAGAAGACTAGTAGAGATAAGAAAAACGCTTTTATCAAAATATTCTTTATGAAGTATCGTTAATAACACAGGAGTTGTGTGACTTGATGTGTGTTTTTATTTGCTTTTTGTGTTTGTATGGTTACAGTTAGCGGTTTTGATGTACGGAGAATTTTGATGTTAGAGCAGTCAAAGGAAATATTCGTGCGAAAATTCCCAATAACTTCTTAATTTAAGGACAATCATAACAAAATATAATTCGCATACTACTTTGCAGGTCATTCATAGTATAATACTTATTACAAAGTATTTGCTTTTATGTAACTAAGTCCCTGACTTGTATCGTTGTTGTTTTTACTGAGATTAGTCAGATAAAGCATGAATCCTAAGATTTTGAATTATCATTCTCCTAATTATAATAAACAGTATAACATCAAATGACACGAAAAATTGGAAATAAATCATTCTTAAGAACAGTAAGATGTCACTACCTCCGCCAGCCCAACCATCAGGTGTCGTATTTTCCTTATATCGAAGTTTGATATTCAGTAGTTCAATGTGTTGATGCGAAATATCTACTTGATCACTTACGATAATTTCCACTCTGAAACTGTACCTGGATGTTTTTTTAATTGCTGTAGTACAATACATATTTTACAAGGTGCTGTCATTTGTTGCAATAAAATCTCGTTTTTCCTCTCGAGTCTCAATAAGAGTGGTTCCTTTTTTTCTACCGGTATCCGACTCTACTTTTAACCCTAAAACCTGGTGACAATGACACGATCAGAATTTTGGAGTAACAGATACAATAATCGCTTTCTCTGAAATATCACATTGTGTACTTACATACGGAATCTCTTCTTGCCAGTTTTAAGCAAACTTGTGACCAACTTTGAACTTCAGAATGTTGGTACCGATTCGGAATCACTTCTTCATTCCCAGTAGTTAGTAGTTTAAATATGTTTCCTAACTTTTTGTGCAGACGAGATTGTTTTTATCGTTATTTTACGGTTTTAACTACAGTCACAGTTCTATTTTATGACATTATCGAAGCTAATAATGGTTAATGTGTGTTGACTAGTGATATTGTAGTGAACAGAACATGGGTGCGGACAATCAAATGTATTTAACACATTATTACAGGACTTGTTAATAAAATCTAACAATCATAAAGTAAATGCCTAATTTGCAAAATGTCCACCGATGGTCTCAAAATGACTCAGACTTCATTGTTCTTGCATTTTCATACAAATTGCATCCTATTTCCATTCTTTACTGTTCGATCCTCTTGTCTCTCTGCTGCCAGACCTGTTCACGACTAACATCATATACTACTTATGTCAATGTAAGTAGCACACACCACAATATAACTAGTGCATTGATCTATAAATTTAAGTCTAACCTAATGTATACATGTCGATTTTGTCATATGACGTGGTATCATATCTTTGACAAATCCTTTTTCATTTTGTTGAACAATTATAAACTTGTATTAGTAGCTTTATACTATTACATCTAGTGTGTTAACATTTAATGGCTTTAGAAACATGAGTTTATTGTTTGAATTATTAATATTATGTCGGTAATGTTATGCTCGTATATAAACTTCATATAACAGTATGTTTTTTGCTTTAATCGCATAAAATAAATGGATTTACAAAGTTTCGTGTTGTCATGTACCTGTGGTTGTGTTATAAACAAAGGCAAATAGTGGCTAGCAGTGGAATCCAGGACGCTCGTTTCGTCCTATTTGGGACTCATCAGCTGGATGTACTTGTATTTCTGAGTTGAATGTTCACTTCGGGACTCAAACCCAGTACCGTTCGCTTCAAACGCCATCGCGTTATCCATTTAGCTACTGATTCCCGACAGCCACTTGCTTGTGCAATGGAGTGGAGTTAAAATTCACTTGGTATTGTTTACTTGAATCTTCTCATTGTTTAGTTGTGTACCTAACTCACTTTTTCAGATGATGAGTTACATGTTCGAGCTCACATAATGTCGGTTTCAAATATTCTTACCTATTGTGGTTACTTAATTGGACTTGGCTGTTCTGATGCACGTGTACGCTTATATGATTCGCCAACTGGTTCTATCCTGTTCACGTGTTCCTGTATTGATTCAGTCAGTGGTCATTCACCTTTACCGGTATCAATCACATTCCCAAGTATTATCAGCGAACAATCTGCTGAATCACCAATAACTACATTACCCAAACATCGTTTCTCAGTATTGTACACAAATGGTCAATTAAGAGAGTGGAAGATAACTATAAAACAGTCAAATAATGTAAATAATTCTGATGAGTCGGATCATACTACAAGTCCTCTAGTCCCAACAAAAAGTATCATTGGTGTTGGACTAAACAAATGGCTCGTTAAATTTTGGCGTACTATGGGTGAGGAAATTTCACGGAGTCTAGGAGTATTTCATAGTGTAGATTATATTGAACCCAATAAATGGCTGTTAGCTTCAAATCGATTTTTAGTTGTTTTGGTTTCTCATAAGGTGGGTGTTCATCTTTATTCTTAAGTGTGTTAATCAGATTTCCATTTCCTTGGCATTTCTTTTTCATTCGTAATCATTGAGTTAATTCATGAATGCAATCATTTATGGTGTTTACTTTAATCCTGGTTTTTAATGTAAGGAAACTTTCAGTGTTTTATTTAATAGTTTTTAAAAAGCATTTCAATGAATGTGTAGTATGTTGTAAGCCATATTTACTTTTACACGTAATTGAATTTTTACAAAATATTTACAAACACTACAAAATCATCTGTCTACAAGAATTATTGTTCTCAAACTTTGTTAAGCATGTGGAACGCTACAACGGTATAAAAGTACTAAAATAAGCGCATTTCCTTTAAAGGAGAAACCGATTGTGGCTAGAAAAGGAAATCAGGACTCACGTTTCGTCCTATTTGAAGCGAAAGGCACGGCACGAATCCGGAGCAGACGCAGGTGCATTCATTTGACAAGTCTCAGATTAGTTTCTTTCACTGACTACAATCTGTCTTTTCTATAACATTAGCAAAATAGCTATACCGAAGTGACCTGCACAGGATTCATGTACGCTGTGACTGAGCGAGGCTCAATCAAGAATGTTAACCCAATAACCCCAACAAATTAAACAAAATTTTTCTTGTTTTTCAAAAACTTATTTTGCTGTTCATGTCGAAAATAAAAGGACATACTACTTTCTTCTACACTTACGATCCAGACGTCTTTTATCAGTATTACAAGCATTTATGTTCTATAATTCCTAGAATCTCAGTTCTGTATTCAGAATTCGATGCCAAATTTTAAACTAATGCAAACATCGCCCATCTCACAAACTGAATCAGACCCTAACTGTTTTCGTTGTTTTAATCCATTCCTAAGGTTTATAAAAATCACTCGACTTAACCATATTAGTTGGCTGACGATTTGAAACTCTGCTGGTTTTCACTGGTGATTCCTTTCTCATAAACGTTTTTCTACTGTATGCAATGTTAACTGCAAAAACAAAATTGAGGATAATGTATTTGTAAAATCTCAGCGAAAGAATTTGAAGTAAATTCAATGTTTCGCCTGGCAATCTGGTCCAAGCTTTTTCAAAGAAAATATATCTTTAAAAGTGGTTATACCAATTGTACATTTTCTTCGATAATTTGATGTGATATATTTTCCTTGAAAAAACTTGGACCACATCGCCAGGCGAAACGTTGGATTTACTTCAAATTCTTTCGCTGATATTTTACAAATATATTCTTCCTCTTTAATGTCTCACATTAACTCGGCGCCCACATATTGTGAAACTATTCGTTCAAATTTAGACGAAAGTTTTTATTTATTATTCTGCAATCGCATCAAATTATCGAAGAAAACGTAAAATTGGCATAACTTTTAAAAATTGAGAATAGTTGTCAGATATTCTGCTTTGTGAGTTCAGGTTTCTAAAACGCAAATTGAAACTTCATCAATCAGTAGTGTGTTAAGCATTTTAAAACCGAATTAGGCCATACGTTGTCACGATTAGCCTACATTTTTCGCTTCATGTTATACAGTATAAGTTTACATCAAATTCACTGACATACTAAAGTGAATGCAGATACATGACAAAACGTGCATACCATATATTTAAGTGCTAAAAGTTTGGTTCAGGCTATAAGATAATATTGCTGCTTGGTGATAAAGGTTTCCTTCTAACTAATTCACGGCAGCATCATATGCTTTCGTCGGTAGCTTTCGGGATATTAGTTGCAAATGTGAAAAAAAAGTAGTGATGAAAAAGATATCTGGATTGAACTGTTATATGTGGTTGTGTATCATCATTTTCTTAAAGCTCTGTGTGTGAGCAGAATTCCTAAAATTTCACAGTCTAGTCTTTCCATCATATTAAAACAGATCTCGTTTAGCCCCTGTTGCATTATTTCGTCATTCTTATAGTTAGTATATTTCCTTTTCTGATCAGTGTCTGGATATTCTTTTCATTTTTATGTTACTTATACTTTTTATAATTAGTGTAACTCATATACAAAGTACATGTTTATGTACTCGACCTTAAGTTGCAGTTTTTGTAAAACTATCAAACCACTCAAACCGAAGTAAATTGGGTCATTATGCCGGAACTTTACAGTTTTGGAAGTGTTTGGTGTGAAATCTCTGAACTCCCGTTTTCTTTCATTAGGCACTTGTTTGTTGAATGTACCTGTAACCGAGTATGATGATCACACTATTATTTCGACTTATAGATGTAAAAATTGATAAGACTGTGCATATCAACAGACACTAATAAGATCGTTTATGTGCACTCATCTGTTTATTTTTGTCTCTACTTTTAATGATCTTAAAACAATTTACAATATAGAATTATGAACTTGGGATGATCAAGAAGATCCTTACTTACAAGAGGACTGCTGATGACGACTACTGTTTGTATATTTGCGAAAATGTCAAAGTAGGTTCCATTTTTTGGCTTTGAATATGCTTCATTTGGTTTTGCAAAGTTTTAAATCAGATGTTTTAGTGTCATAAATAGTTCGTGACATTATTCCATGCAATTAAGTCTGCTGTTCACTGACTTTCTGTATAGTTATAAACACCGAACTGGTCTACTGACCACTGGTGTATTGTTGTTCTTCAGTATAGCGTCCCAAATATTCACATTTTGGCCGGTAACGTGGTACAAAGTACCCTAAATTTCAGTACTTTGTTTGAAAACACGTTTATCTTCTGGCTTTACATGTCGCTATATGTTAAGACGTAAACACATGTAGATCCATTACAGTACGTATTTCAAATATACTTTCATTTCTGTATTACGTCTTTGGACATTAATGTGCTCTACTCATCTTCTATTCATTTACAAATTCTTTCGAACTTCTATTTGTTAATATGTTAAAGTACGTTTCATTCGTCATATTTTAATAATTCACAAATTGTATCATGTATTATTCGATCTTGTTACAATGTCATAGTACCACTACCATACTTCCTTTTCACTAAATGATGTCATGTTTCTTGTTCCATTCTTAAAAGAACTAAATTTTAAAAACTAATATCATACTGTACCACTTAATAATTTTAATTTGCTAATTATTTGTTGCAACATTGATATATATTTTAGAACATAATCCAAACAAAAGTTCTATCAGAATCAGAAATCGCAGTTGTTTCGATAGATTCTAGAAATATAACTTCTCAACTGGCTCCACCATTACAGAGGAAATTGTACGGAACATGATATGTATTTCCTTGTATGTATTTTCAATATAATTTTTCATATAAAAGACATACTTTACTTTGTCTATATTTTTAGACTGTAGAACTATAGTTTGTCAGTTCCTATCCAACACCACTTTTAGGTAAGTTTACTTCAGATCATCTCTGTGTCGTTTGTCAGCACCATCGCTAAAATACAAAACAACATACTAAGAGTGAAAGAAACATGTGTGGGCGAGACAAAAATTATTAATGGGTATACGAATGGTAGGTTCAGACTTAGGTACCTCATTTTTGTGACGAAATTTTTCTAGCTCTTTTAGGCAATGTAGTGATGCATCTCTTTGTTGTGTAGCTTTTCTTAGTTGCTGCTCAGAGACTGCAGTTGAAGTCATACACGACTTACCAATTTTTTCGAAGTGCAGTGAGAACCGGTATTAAGGATGGTGGTTCTGTCGGGTTCATTGCATCAATATGTCTTAGTCAGTACATTTTTGGTTGAGTTATGTCTCATTGGATCTCAGGTCATGTTAATTAGGTATCTACTAGTAAGGTCTATTCATTTTATATGAGTAACGTAAGGGACATAGTGTAGTGTCAGTGAAATGTCATTGGGCCCTAGCCAAAACATCCGACAGTTGGGTCACTGAATATCGAACAGATCATCGATCCCTGCCAAAGACAACCAACGCTCATCAGTTAATCCTATGCCATGTATTGGCCAGTGCGGTGGTCTCACTATTTTTCCTGTACTAATCGCAGCCGTAGATTCATTAAACCATAATTACTAGTTGTTGTAGCTTAAGATCACGACTGCATTCATAGCACATCAAAAATTAAATTTCCTGATTCCTATTAGTCGATCATAAGCTTGTGTTAAAAGTGGTACATGCATCATATCATGTACCTCCGTAAACCATTAAGCCTGATGTTTCCAACATTTTATTGTTTTTACCCTCTTAATTTTCCACTGTCCAACATGTTTACTAGTTATTCAAAGTTCATAGTGTTGACATACCATCACTGTCAATCGTGCTGTTTGTTTGATGCTTTTCAAATCTAAGTTAGTTTTCCTCGTTTTGGAAAATCTTAGTCATAAGCAATTTTTCTGGTTGGTGTAAATCATAACTTACGTTTTGGATATTAATCATGACTGGTTTGGATTCTGGTTTTAAAAGTATCCTTCCCAAACTTATGCCTGTAAATAGACTTCTGTATTCTGATTGCTAACAAAGAGTTTGACTTTTAATACTTGGCTCTGATTTATTATTCAAAATGGATTGAAATTAATCTGGTCAGTAATAGCCACTAGATTGTAGTGGTAAATAAATCCCCAAAATCAATAGATTTGTAAGTCTTCAACATTTGATGCTGGCCGCATCAGTTTTACTGGACTCACCTAGCTCAAGGCACTCGGTCACGCATCCTCACTAGATCACGAATGGGCACGCCGTGCTATGCATCTCTTACCGTCAGCCGGTTTAGATTAGACGCTTCCCAATATATTAATAGCCTTTTATGTATATTTCCGAATTTTCTCGTTTCTGATTTGACTGTTGGCATACTTTGATCATACGGGTGTCTGAAATGTTGAACTCCGAATACGTATGGTGTACTTATATTGATATTGAAATAAAGCTCATTCTCAAAGTTTGCATAATTTTGACGAGTGATTTGATAGAAATGGCGTCATTAAGTGCACACAAAGCAGCATGAGGGACTGAAGGTTATGACATTATGTGGTGGGTAACATTATACACCTAATGAATGTATTTCAAGTATGATTGAAACGTTTCCAATCTAAAACGACTAGAATAGTTAGTCTCTGTAATGAGATTAAATTTCAGTAGTCTGTGGGGAGCGAGACTTAAAATGATTCGACTTTAGATAGGCAGCGTGCTTGAGTATCTGGGTTACCTGTTCCTGCCATCTAGATATTTCAACAAGTTATCTATTTTTGTTTGTTTTGATGTATCATTGTGTCTATTAATCGCATAACCTATTTTGGTGCATTTCTGAAAAGTGTACAGCTTTTCATTGTCACAGTTACAAAAAGCCCAATAAGAGATAATGTGGCCGCTGGCAATATGCAGCAAAAAGAATATACATTCAGATGTTCATCTACTGGACTGCTAACATCTAACTGGCGATCACTCAATATTTATCGTCAGGATCGACCAAGAAGTAAGAAAAGGAGACTTGTTGAGATACTTTGTGCTGAGGATTCTATATTGTACCAAAAATATAATATTGAACAAGGCTTATAATAATAATAATAATATCGTTATAGTTGAAGATCATATTTTGTCGCAGTGTCGTCTCGATTTCCCAGATGAAACACAGGCTTGTAATGTTTGGCAAAGTATGTGTTGATTGTTAGATAGCCAGGTTTCTAGTTTAATACAAAATACATTCAGGTGCGTCATATGTTTGCTTAGGTTAAGCTAATTAGTCACTTTTGAAACTTCACAGTAGTAAATTGAAGACTGGTTGACCTTCCTGCAACATGATGTAGATCATCAGCGTGGATGGTCTTTGTTGAGTGACTCTGGGTCTATTGGAATTAGACGGGATTTTGTGACCGACCGATTAACTTCGAAGTCACACCTCACGTCCAGTACCTGGCGTGGACTACCCCTTCGTCGTTTCCAGGTACTATGGCTACTTCGTTGACTGTACAATACAAACAGCGTTATTGCAGGAACATTGATAAGAGTGAGTACAAGAACAAGGGACAACCACTGCCGTGTGAGTCAGTTCATGGAGTGCGGGTGATTGTTTCGTCAGACCACCAAATCAACTCAAAGGTCTTCAAATCGTTGAGTATTTGAACTGCCGATTTATGTGCTAAAATTATTTGTTAGATAACAGCCACGGAAAAACGATACTTCATAAAATATAGGAAGTACTGTTTCAAAATTTTAATAATTACAGTGGTTTGATTATGTTATAAAATCACATTGTTCTTACGTATCCTCACATTTGCGCTGAGTGTTCGTTTGTATATTATTATTGTAACAGTTGAGTGAGTAAATACAAACATATACGGATAATTTGGTAGGGTCTGTAGAGAATTTTAGAGGTCATTTAGATATTACCGAAAAGCGTGCTGTACGTAAGTAAACCGAAAATGCAATCAAGACGACTTTCGTGTTATAAGGAAGTCGAATCGTGGTCTACATTGTGAAATAACAGCAAATGCGTAGCGTATTGTAAACATTGGCGAAATCGGTAACCATCACCATAAAAAAGGTTTAGAAGCCGCAGAAAACGTGGCCGTTTCGTAAAAGACCGACGCAAAACGATTATTGTCTAAACTCAAGTAACATATTACGTGCAGTCTTGCGACAACGTATCAAGTTAAGACTTGGACTGAGATTGCTTGTGTACATGCAATGCGTTTTCACATAGAAAGTCGACTTACGAGGCGTAAATGTATATGATGTCGACAAAACCTTAACGGAACTGATAAAGTATATGACTACTCTATGTGAAGTTAACGAGAAAATATCATTAGGCATCACAAACAGTACAAAATAATGTAATGCGATTGTGAAACTCACCTAGGTTACTCTCGCTTCTATGTAGTGAAGATATAAATTACACATTAGTTCGTTGCGATATAAATCCAAGAGCATTTGAGTTACATACGAGGTAGTGTTGATTTAGTTCATGGTTTGACACAGAGATGTTGACTGGGTTTGCATAGATCCAACAATAAATTCGGCTAAATACGTATCATCAACTGGGCGAGCAGTTCAGACTAGGTTCAAGATTTCAAGAATCTCGCAGTCCAACCAGCTTATTTAAGACATTCGCATCGTCTATTTGACCATGGTACTCAGCAACTGGAAAATAGATTGACAATGGTCAAGTAAGAAAAACATTCCAGTGGATAGCTTCAGAGAGAAAATAGCGTATAACGTGATTAAGTAGGAAGATGAATTTACATTTAAGTGCTGGTCTAATCTTCCTTCTATAAGCTATATATAGATGTGTGGAAGCAACAGCGATTCTATTAGGCACGTTACTCTCCTCCATAAAGATGTGTTTGCGCAGCTTTGTGGCTTTAATTACCAGCGATTCATATATAGAATGACATATTAAACGGGAGCACTTACATGCTTCTAATACTTGTTAACGTATCATGATAGTCGACTAGAATTATAATTGATTAGTTATTTTTATCGATCGACCGAGATAGTCGAATTTGATAACCAATCAACACTGAGACAAAAGAATGAATGCTCACAGTGATTGACAAACTTAAGCGACTGTAGAAATAAGAGACAAAATGTGTAAAGTGACTCTGTCTGTAGCTATTCTAAGGTCACTGCCGGTCTAAAGCACGGGTAAATAAGGTGGGATGTGCATCGCATCGGTAACAGTGTGTCTCGTAGGGTCACACTACACAGAATCAGATGGATCATATTTGCATCACCAAAAGTTTAAAAGATTCATGGAAGACGTGAAAACCACGAGTGGAGATGGCATAGCTTCAGTTCACCACCAACTAGTTGTGGCGAAGTTAAAAGTGAAGCTAATAAAACACTCGACAACTGAACAAACAGCATTATAAACGTTTGATATAGCTTTCCTTCGAGACACTGACAAACTCGATGGATTGAAGACCGCTCTCAACAGCATGTTCCAAGCCTTACAAGATCAACTGAAAGAAGAAGAATAAACTGTTATGGAGAACAACTAGAGAGGGATGGAAGAAGCACTGACTTCAACGTGTGAGTAGGTGCCTAGTGGCTTATAGCATCATGATTAAGAACGAATCTCTATAGAAACCATGGGAAAGATTCAAGAAACGAAGCTGAAGAAGACAGCGATTAACAACAATCAAACGGGAACACAGAAAGTGAAGACACAGACCGAATACACAGAAGCAAACAAGCAAGTAAAGCGGAGCATTAGAGATGACAAAGAGACATACATGGAAGATCTAGTAACGACATTGAATTAAACTGCAATGGAAGAAAACGTATGAAGTTTATATGACACAAGGAGGAGGCGAGCAAGGTAATATAGTGTAGCGGTAAATAAATCCCCAAACTAAATAGCTCTGTAAGTTTTCGACATTGGATGCTGACCATATGTTTTAGTGGACTCATCTAGCTGAAGGCGCTCGGTCATGCATCCGCTCCACATCACGTGTGGTAACGCTGTGCTCAACATCTATCGCAATTGCTAGTCAGATTAGATCAGAGAATTCCGATATATTGGTTATCGCCGAATACACTCTTCCGATCTCCTCGACTCTGTCTTTTGATTTCTCTCGGTGGGAACAAAGTATATTAGAAGGTGTTACTGGTAGAAGCGTTGTCAAACACTGAATATCTGTATCATCCTCATTGGTGAGACCGTCGTGATCTGGTAAACCTAATTTCAACTGTGAGTCTGTTCCTTTTTGGGATTTTTATGTATCATTGCCTTATTTTTTTAAACATTGTGATTTTTTTTCGTGTTTTTTCTTGGATATATATATTTTTTTCATATTTCATCATGACTGAACAGACATCCAAAGTACTCAAGTTTAAGACTTTGTCCCCGCCTTCGTTTCAACTGATGCCTTTCTGGCTCGACAATATCGAAGCCTGTTTCTGCTACGCAGAAGCCGGCCTCCACGAGTACGGCGTGATCGACACACGTGCACAATTTCTAGCAGTAGTCAAGGCACTACCGCGCGAATTCAACAGGTACGTAACACCTAGTATGTTTACTAGTGATGTTTCCGAACCTTACGAAATCCTGAAACGTTCGATTCTTAAACGGGGAGACCCGACCGATCGACAAAGGTTAGATCAACTCTTCAATAACATCGACCTGCAACACGGTTCTGCGACGGACATGTTGTAACGAATGAGAGAAGTGATTGGCCGAAGAACTTTCAACGAAGCCTATTTAAACAACTTTTCTTGTCTAAACTTCCTCAACAGGTGCAAGCGGTTTTGGTCTCGTTTCAGAACAACGCTTTAGACGAACTGGCTGCATCTGCCGATTGAATCTTAGAAATTACGAAATCGTCTACTACAGAGGTATTTTCAGTTAAACAAAAGCCTCACACGACTCAGAATGACATAACCGAGTTATGTCATACACTCACGCGTTATCTTAATCTTCGTAACGACCGTAGTCGCTCACGCAGCCCACGTAGAAGCATTTCACGTCAACGATCTGTCTTTAGACCACGAGAGACGGATAATCCCGACTGGTGCTGGTATCATAACCAGTATGGAAAGTCTTCCAGAAATTGCAGAAAACCCTGCAATTTTCCCAACACGAAAACGACTGACTCGAAAAACAACTCGGGAAACTTCCGAGCCGGCACGCGTTAACGGCAACCGTAGCCGGCGAACATAGCCGTCTGTTGTACGTCACAGATGTGACAACGAGAATTCGCTACCTCGTCGAAACTGGCTCAGAAGTTAGCGTTCTCCCAGCAAATCCTAACGACCGGCTCCACGAATCAACTCTAAACTTACAGGCGGCAAACGGAAAACTGATCGCCACGTTTGGCAAAAGGTACGTCTACCTTAACGTGGGTTTACGCAAACCCATTCATTGGATTTTCGTTGTTGCAGATGTTTCTATGCCAATCATTGGTATGGATCTTCGACAACACCATAATCTGATGATCGACACGCGCAAACGGAGGCTAGTAGAAGGAAACACTAATCTATCCGTTTGCGTAACTTCTTTTACTGGTTGTAGATTATCCCCAGTCACAGTTAAGCATACGATAGACCCACTCTATCAATCACTACTCGATAAGTACCCTGGGATACAACAAACTCAAACGAAACTACCGTGTGTAACCAGCAACGTTACACATCACATCACGATTACAGGAACACCTGTATTCTCTAAAGCACGACGACTAGCTCCGGAAAAGCTGAGGTTAGCGAAAAACGAATTCGATCACATGATAGACTTAGGAATCATACGACCGTCCAACAGCCCATATGCATCTCCGTTGCACATGGTCCCTAAGAAGGACAGCAACGATTGGCGTCCAACTGGTGACTATCGGCGATTGAATGCAAAAACCATTCCCGATCGTTACCCGTTGCCTCACATTCACGATTTGACAGCTACCTTGAAAGGTACAACTGTCTTTTCGAAAATCGACTTGTTTAAAGCGTATAACCAAATCCCTATGGCTACTGACGACATACCGAAAACAGCTATCATAACTCCTTTCGGACCCTATGAATTTTCGCGATTGCCTTTCGGTCTAAGAAACGCTGCGCAAACATTCCAATGATTCATAGACGACGTTTTTC